TCTGTCTCTGTCTGTCTGTCTCTGTCTGTCTGTCTGTCTGTCTGTCTGTCTGTCTGTCTGTCTGTCGGGGTGTTTGTTTGTTTGTTTGTTTTGTTTTTTGTTTTACTTCTTTACCAAGAGTATTTGCTTTGATTTTTGCCTCCATTATAGACGGCTCATTTTCTTCGTTGTTACACATAATGTCTGCACGAAAAAATGGCGTCTGATGTTTTCTTGTGTGTCCCTATTGTTTTCTCCTTTGGTAACTCTGACTTGATGCTGGTCACGGCAATCCTCAATCGCCATCATCACCGTGCTTGTGGCCATCTTGCTGCGAAATTCTCCCCTCAGGGCTTGGTGGGATTCATGGTGGAAAGTTTCGCTTTCCGTTTCTTCATTCTCGCAGTGATCGTGGTCAACGCAGTCCTCATTGTGCTACAAACAAATGAAGATCTTGTGAGTATACGAAAAATCAGGCGAACAAATTGGAGACGTTTCAACACAGTCTGTAAGAGTTTTCGTTCGTCTCCCAGTTTTTGTTTTTAAGCTAAAGACTCAAAGTGAATGACATATCAAGTTGTAGGATTCGTGGTTTACAACCAAGCAGCCTGTTTTCTGTTCCCGGCATGAGAAACCTAATTAAAATTTGTCCTTTACACCATTTTCTTTTTTCCCTTTTATTTTTCACTTTTACAATGTCTCTGATTATAAACGGTCAATCTGTTTATTACGCTATCTTTGACCCGACAGTCGTTGGAGTATGCCTGGCTCTTTTCTATTTTCGACTACATTGTACTGACAATCTTCGTATGGGAACTCCTCCTCAAGTGGTACAATGGCTTCTTCATTTACTGGAGGGTGGGCTGGAACATTCTCGACTTTTTCATCATCCTCACCTTGTTCCTTGGACCGAGTAAGTTGCTGCAAGTGCAAGGGTCGGTTCAAACTTGACGCGAAAGCGGACACGAAAGAGTGCGAATCTGTGTGGTCAAATGAAGTAGAAGTTAGACTGTGACAACTTTGAACTCAGCGCAATTCGCTGTTAGTGTAAATATTTCGTAGCTTCAAATTCCATACGTTTTTGTTTTTGCCCGAAGTGTGAACCACCCTTAACGCTGGAGAATGTGCTTTGAATGGCAAAAGGTCGAGACAGGATCGCAGCCAGAGTTTTTATTCGCCAGTTGAAAAAAAAAAATTAATAGGCTATAAAGACACTATTTTCACCCACCTAAATGTATTTTAAACGCAAAGAACAAGTAAATTGTATTTGGACGGGTTCAGTCCAATTACCTAGAAAGCACACCCTGACAAGTTCGATGATCGATAGTCAAAGGATGTACTAGTAAAAACAGGACCGCCGCACTTGAAAACGGCGCGCGTCATAATGACAGTGACTGTGCCGCGCCCGTGCGCCTGCGCACGGGCACAGTGCAAGAACAGAATGAAATGAACTCTCAACTTTACTGTGCAAGGAAGAAATCATTAAATGTGGTGATTGCTATCACTTCGTTGCGCCAGATCCCATGTGGTCTAGTGGTTAGGATTCGTGGCTCTCACCCACGCGGCCCGGGTTCGATTCCCGGCATGGGAAATGTAGTATTTTTTTTACATTTCTTTGTTTTTAACTTTCTTGACGTTCATCCGGAAATTTTATCATAATAAATTTGATATGAACAAGACAAGAGATAATTATTATTCGGTGATGGTGACAAGCAATAGGTTCCAAGCACACAGATGGATGCAATCTATGACATTTTACACTGTGCTTCAAATAATGTTTTTTACAAATACACAGGCTTCATGTTTTTCATAAAATGCCCAAGAGCCTAGTTTCAAATAAGTAAGCCTATGCCATCATTATATATTTATCAACTCTCTAGAAATCACAATATATAAAGGGCCTGACTTTTCGATCCTAGCAGAATCTTTCTCAAAGGCGAAATGACGCCCTTTGAGACAGATTTTGCTAGATCGAAACGTCAGGCCCTTCATATTTTGTGATTTGTATTTGGGTCACTATAGTCAGCAAGCAGTTTGCAGCAGTTTCTTATTACATACGTTCTGGAAATCTCTAGAAAAAAAGCTTACAGTTCGTGTAAAACGGGACCTCGTTTAAAACCTCTCCGTTCCTTGTGATGAACCAAACGGGTATGGCGTGGATCGGGGGGGGGGGGTGTTAGGGGGTCGGAACACCCTCCCCCTGCGCTGAGACAAAGAAACTGCGGAAAATAATTTTTAAAAAAATAACTAAAGTAAGTGCACCAATATAACTGTAAACAATGTGTGGCATGTATAATGTTTCATCATCATTTCTGCTTGTTCACGAAAATGAGACATTAAAAAATCTCCGGCCTGACTCCCCCCCCCTACAAATTTCTGGAGTTTCCATGGTGTCTCAGTGGCTATTTTAATTTAGTGTAACGAGTATACAAAAGTTTACTCGAAACTCCCAGTGATACAAAACTCTTGCCCTCGAGGACACATTGACGCATAACTTCTACCACACGACACGGTAGGCACAGCTGATCCTCCTCAAGCGGTGATGACTCAGTGTTACCATAACAACAGTAAACGCCGTCTCTACGTCCTTGAATGTGTCGTGCGTGCTTAATTCGTTTACATGACTCACCTTATCGGATGACGTCCGCAAATGAGGCAGGTGCAGCAGACATTGATCACCACGAAGAATACCTATTGCTAGCCAATGTGTAGTATGTATCCCGTGTGGTCTAGTGGTTAGGATTCGTGGTTTTCACCCACGCGGCCCGGGTTCGATTCCCGGCATGGGAAATTAAGCTTTTTGCGGTTAGCTTAATGTTTCTCTGACAACTGTAATGAGTGTGTTAAATTGTAAATGCCAGTTTTAAGTTTAACTTTTTCTTCTTTCTGTTATTTAGCTCTTTCCTTTCTGGGGAGCAGTAGGATTTTAAGGATTCTTCGTGTTATCCGTGCTTTCAGAAGCTTGAGAAGGTACCTATTTATCCAAGAAAATTAGAAAACATTATTGGTGCGATCACACGACTATGTCAACTTCAATATTTCCATCTGAAAAAACAAAATATTTTCTCGACACACAACTAATTCTAAAGATGTTGCTTGGCTTTACAGCATTAGCGCCCTCACCGGATTAACCGTCGTCGTGCAGACAATTCTGCAATCCATTCCAGGTACAAGTTATAGGATCCAGCATTTCGTATAAGATTGGCATACGAAACGGAGAATATTTTTCATAAATGCCGTTGCTGAAACTAATATACGATGCAAATTAGCGTTGGTACGGAAAAGCAAAAAGTATGCGTAACCCCCCCCCCTTTTAAAAGAAAACGGGCATTGAATTTCAACCTCTTCTTAAATCCTCAGGAAGTCGACCTAATCTTTGAGAAAGTCACTGTTAATACACAAAAGTAGACAAAATTCTATCAGAAACTGGGAAACATTATTATCCCCATCAGGAACTTCGAGATTTTCCCCAAAGGTTTTGTCGTAATATTGACCGATTATGTACTTTAAAATTCAATTCTCTTAAAATTTCAGAAAAGAGAAACAACTGATAAATCCCATGTTAAATTAATGCTTTGTCTTTCTCCCCCTGGTCTCAGATATGACAAACATCGCCCTTCTGCTGGTTATCATCATGGTAGTGCTGAGCGTAGCAGGGGTGGCGCTTTTCAGTCGGGATTTCCCCGAATACTTTGGAAATCTTGGGGAAGGTATCAACACTTTTATTCGCCTTTCCCCCCCCCCGAAAAAAAATTCAATAATAATAATAATGATGAATTTAAAAACAATTGAATTAAACAAAGAGCAATGAGGAAACATATCAGTCAGACAATGTAACTTCTAGTTATGATAGATTTTAAATCTTTTGCTGTTTTGCAGCTATGTTCACAATGTTTGTTTGCGTCACGCAGGATGGGTGGATGGGGATGTTCAACAACTTTCAGGTAATTCCAAGGTGAAAAATCTTGTCCGGTAAAAGTCATCAGCACAGAACAGCCTAAACGGAGTGAACATTTAATTAAACATGAAAGTTCCACAGATGCCGTTTTTAATAATTGTTTTAAGGAGAGAAAGATTAACCAACGCTTGTTGTCCCTTTTATTGGAAAAAAAATGACCCTATTGGCAAAAATAAGGCCCTTTTTTCCTTTTACATAATAAATCGGGTTACTGGGAAGCATTGAGATGCTTCAGAAAATCACATTGTGAAATCACATTGCAAAAATCTTGTGTATTTCCAAAACTAAAATAACAATAAAAAAGATGCGAGAAAGGTAACAGATCCCATGTGGTCTAGTGGTTAGGATTCGTGGTTTTCACCCACGCGGCCCGGGTTCGATTCCCGGCATGGGAAATTCGCTGTTATTATTGTTTTAGAATGCTACGAAAGCCACTTTTGAATTTGGTTAAGGAAAGAATTAACCGACACCTGTTACCTCGTTTAATGGCAGAAATGATGGCCCTTTTTATTTTAACACACTAAAATCCACAAAATAAAATAACAGTAAAAAGATGCAAGAAAAATAGCAGATCCCATGTGGTCTAGTGGTTAGGATTCGTGGTTTTCACCCACGCGGCCCGGGTTCGATTCCCGGCATGGGAAGTTCATTTTTATTCATGTTTTAGGATGTTACGAAAGCCGTTTTTAATTGTTTAAGGAAAGATTAACCAACACTTGTTACCTCTTTTATTTGCAGAAAATACTGGCTCTTTTTACTTTTACACACTAACTCGGACTACTGTGAAGCATTGGGATTTTAGAGCTTTGTAAAATCACATTGCGAAATCATTATATAACCCCCCCCAAAAAAAAATAGCAGTTAAAAGGCGCGACAAAAGTATAACAGATCCCATGTGGTCTAGTGGTTAGGATTCGTGGTTTTCACCCACGCGGCCCGGGTTCAATTCCCGGCATGGGAAATAATTATTTATCATTAATGTTTAGAATGGTACATTCGTTTTGACTCTTGTAGTTCATTTATTATATTGTGGGAAGAATGTACACATGGAAAAAAACAAACATAGTTTTCAATTTTATTTATTTTGTTGGGAGCAAGGGTAATCAAGTTAGTTAGGAAGGAAACGTTCTCCCGAGCCTGAGACGTGGCCATAGTAATTAGTCATTAATGTGGCTTCATTTCCCGTTTCTAGGAGTCGCCAAACCACTTCTTGGCGGGTGCTTGCTATTTCATCGTCTGCATTATCGTCGGTGCTTTCGTCTTCGCCAATCTTGTCGTTGCTGTTGTCGTCACAAACCTGGTAGGATTCTTTAAACTTCACCGACATGGCACCCACCACCCTTAAATTCAACTGTTATGAAGTGAATGTTATTACCATACCTCATACATATTCATGACGGATCGCCGAACTCTCATTGGTGCATTCACGGTTACGCACCAGCCACCATAATTTGCTGTTTGCCTAGAGCACGCGCAGTCATTCACGCAAGGAGTAACGCATGCGTTTTTATGTCGCTTACCAGGGAGACAATAAAACGCGTGCGCAGTAGCAGAAAATCCAGGAACTGTTGCCCGGGTGCACTGTGCACTTGTGGTAGCGTCAGCCTGGCAACGGTCTCGATGCATATGTAAAATAAATGTAAATCGAAAAAGACAAAAAAAGTTCGTGGAAACAAATTAATGATGGTGTTTTCATTTTCAGACGCTATTAAATAAAATATGTATGAAGTAAAGTAACACAAATAAAACAAACTAGTTCCCTCGGTTTCGCCTCGCCGGAACTATAGTTTGCCAGCTCCCAATATTTCGGAGAACTAACAGCAACTGTCCAACTTCAAATCATGTTATATTTGTATACTCAGAGAAATAATGGAAGGGCTGTGTGGCACCGTGATCAGAATATCGACAAGATATACAAGATTGCCGAGCTTTCGGTAACTGGGTACCTTCTTCAGGGCAAGCAGATTCAGTTCTTGCCCTGAGGAAGGTACTCGGTTACCGAAAGCTCGGCAATCATACATTTCAGAGCATTGATTTTACCTTATATTCTTGTTTATATTTGTATACTGTTCTGTATTTCCGCTCCTTACAAAAGTCATAGAGTACTGAAGTGTGACGTCACTGTGAACCAGAAAGTACAGTGCAAACGAATAGAGTACGCGCGCGTTTTGGTTCTCGCGCTAATGCCTTTTACACACTGATAGTGCGCTTGACGTATTCACTTCGGTACTCTATTGAAAAGGTGTATTGAAATATGCATTTTTCTCGTACTCAGGACAAAGCAATCCGAGAAATTCACGCCGAGAATAAGAAAAGAGAGGATACATTGTCAACCAAGCCAGTCGCTGAAGATGATGGTGAGGATTGATGCACAACAGGGAAACAGCTGATTCGGGCATTGGACTCCCTAAGAGTTACTAAAGCCTGCACATCTCCCGTATGAATCAAAAGGGGTAGCAGCGTAACTATGCGGGAGACGGGTACACGGAGCTCAGGCAGAAGTCCAGGCCCGCCGGGTGCTCCATTTGAACTCCCAATATGTATACAACTACAAACTGCAGTGAATATTAGTGTCCCCTTTAAAAAAAGATGTGCTCCCGTGTGGTGCCTCCTCAGAAATTATTTCCACCCTACTAACAGTGGCAGTGGGGAATCCCTCCTGGGGTTTTTGTTTTCAATGAATACTTCAAAGGTGAGTAGGAAAGAAAGTAATCGGTTTATCAACATTGCCAACAAAACCGTATTTAAAATACAGCAAATAAAAGCAAGGACGTCGGGACCGTGAGTAAGGCTCTCCCCAACATCATGTTGAATGAGCCTGAAGCCGCCATTCGCTTTTAAATTCCTCCTTCCCCAACCAAAAGCTTCGTCCGCCGCTGCCTGCTATACATGAAGTAAGCTGTTCACGAGGCGCCTAAATTCTCCTATCGCATTTTAAAGACACGTTTGAGGTTACACATTCGCCAAGTCGAAAGGACTTATGGAACAACTTTAGATCAATCTTGGACGAAGAAATTTTGTTTGGTGAGCAGCCTGGGGTTTGGTGCAAGAGCAACCGAAAAGGGGAGAAAACAGACTCTTTGTGTTGTACGGTAGTTATGTTGCTACATATCCCGACATCTAGAGAGCGGATACCAGGCCAAAGCTTTTATTTTCAATGTGTGGCGTCATAGCATTGATTCCTCGTTGCAGAACATCATCACTTGGAGCATGATGTACCGATTGTCAGCATGGAAAGCGTTATCAAACATGGCAACCTAACTCAACAAAAACCACTTTTCTTTGGGGTAAGCTTCTGCCTAAAAGTACCTTTGTTTCTGTTAATAATACATTGTATACATTTTTAGCGTAAATTCTTAAATAATTTCTTCATCTACCAAAAAAAACGAGGGCAAATATGTTATTCCCAAGCCGGGAAGTGACCACGCGCCGATCGGGGGAAATTACACATTCTAACCTGGTACGAGACCACACCGGATGTCATGGCTTTGCAAACTATGTTCACCATCGTTAAAGTTAAGTGCATGGGCCAAACTCTTCCGACAGACCCCAGTGCAGCTATATCTAAGCTTTCCACTTAGAACATGACGACCACTGGATGTAAACAGCAATAATCGAAAGACTTCTTATCCCATTTTTAGGATTTTTCTCACATTACTCCGGAAAAGTTTGAGAATTACATCGTGGTTTTGACAGCACTCGAAGAAAACCTGACAGAGTACAAGAGGATACGATACGATCTTGACAAGGTATCGTCCCATTTTTTTAGTAACTGATTTCACCTATCAGTCATACTTTGTGGACTAAATGATATGGCCACATGTTTTTACTGTGCCCAGATATTCGAACTGGTGTACTCCATCAATGAAGAAAAAGCAGAGGGTGCCATTCCCAAAGACGATTCTCGTGCTACGCCATCCTTTGACCCCAGCTTCAAAGTTAAAGACTTTGGGGTAGGTGTTTGCACAACAAAACATCACTTACAATGAGAAAAAAAGAAAGAAAATTTTGATAAGACGCAGTCTACTGTAGGCCTATTTTCCCCTTCCAAATGAACTGACATACGGGCTGAGGCTGGGGGGGGGCTTGTGGTTTCATTTCTGAAAGAGAACTTGGTGTGACCACAGTTTAGATTTAATAACAGTGTTTTTTGGTCTAAACTTTGACCAGAGTGCAAGAGGCGAGTACATCGGCTGAAAAGAGCCGCACTTGTCGGAAGTGTTCCATTTATTGGTAGCGATGTGACCGTGATGCGTACATTTCCTAATCGTTCGGGAAGCAGCGAAGTTCAGAGCGAGAAAAGCGCCTCCGTTGCTAAGAAAATAGCGCCCTCTCTTGATCCAACTTGAAGCTCATACCCCACACAAACAGTTCCGATGATTGGATTTTCATACTTCATCGTTTTCTCCCAATTTTAACCCATCGTGTCTGACCACTGTCTCCATCTTCCAGCGCAAAGGGGACATTCTATCAAACCTGATGGAGCTGGAAAAACGCACAGGGCTGCCAGGCATGCCGGACAGCTATCGGCAATACATCAAGGAGACTGCTAAGATCCTGGACCACATAGGCCAGTCAAAGCACCTACAGGTGCCGGGCTCAACGGTCGATCCCTCCGATATTTCGAGTCCCTCTGGCTCCGATAGAAAAGGGGACAAGAAATGACAAATTAATTTCAATCAAATTCTCTGTCTGTACATGTACTTGCAGTTTGCCGTTGGGATAAATTTTGTTGAGCTGCATGCCAGAAGCTACTGCGAAACAAAATTTTCTTGGCAAATATCAGCTGGGTACAACGATGTACGTGTAACATCACTAAGCTATTTACTTAGCAAAACCTTTGTGCTTTAAGCTCCATAAACCGTGGTCCCTGACAGCGACTTTCGAATGATCCACCCATTCAATGAAACCAAGCATGGCTGCTGTTTCCGGAGCAGCAGGTACTTTAATTTTACTGATGCCATAAATTATACAAAACAGATATCCATTTGCACTGCAACAAAAAAAGGATTTCAAATCATACGAGAAGTTAGCACTAGACAACTGCTTCTCCTTTGTTTGCAATGACTGTGATATAAACATTTGCCCACAGAACCGGCTTTTATCGAGGCGATTCTTTTTTTTCCCAAGGCAGCAGGAGATTTTGCCCGTGAAAACAAACCCCGTTTCGTCCTGAGCCAAGAGAGCGAAGGTCAAAATGAAGAGAATAGCGAGTAACAACATTCCGCGCACCCCACGACAATGTCACTTCGAAATAGGAAAGTGGATGTTTATCTATTTCATTACCAAAAACCAACCTGAATACATAAAATGTAGTTTTTATTGATCAAGAAATACATCCTTGCATGATTAAATCACCTTTGTGCGAGAACATGTTAACCATTTTGTCTTTAACGCTTCCCTAATCTACCTTTTGTTTTCAAGTTATCAATAATTGAGACTATTACGCATTTGATATTTACACAATCAATAAACATTCATACCCTTGGAACAAAATAATTTTATACAACGGCAACCTATTTCAATGACAGAAATTAATTACAACATAACACTATGTCATCCAATAAACACTGAACTACGTTTTTTCCCTAAATTTATAGTGTAAAATATCCCTTTTCATGAAGGTAATTTTTTTTAAATTCACAATATGCATCACAGTATCATCAAGAAGACATTCTTGATGGAAAGTGACACACTTTTGACTTGATACATGTACTGCCAATCGAACCAAATATACAGTAAAAAGAAAGACACCATGTATTTATTCTGTTCAAAATTTTGTTCAAAAAGGGGAGAGAGACTGCAATGTGGCATGACGTTAACACAGTTACAAGAACGGACAAAACTTTGGATTCCAATTTTTCTTCCTTCCAGCTTAGCGCTGAAAACAGAACTCTTAGACTCAAAGGGCAGTCCAATATGGCCATTTCACAATAGTGCACCACCAAGAGTCTGCAATGTGTTTGCCAATCACAATGCGCAAAATCTGTCGACCAAATGCGCATTTGGAAAGGGTCGACAGATTTTGCGCATTGTGATTGGCCAACGTGTTGCAAACTCTTGGTATTATTGACCAACATGTAACTTTGCAAAGTCTGCAAATGTTCCGAGCACAAATACACCAAGAAACATCTCTCTGGAGTATAACCACGGAAAACATTTCTTTAAAAAACTATTTTGTTTTAAATGAAACACCAATTGCGACAATGACAGATGAGCAATAGAATATGACATAAAACTGTACATGTAGATTCCACTCAACACGGATTCAGTGATGTGTTTGAACAGAATTGTTGCTTTACGTGTTACCAATGACATCTAATTCTCTGTAAGTCCATTGCAACAATATTTTGCCACTCTTCTTATGCTTACCACAACCTCTGTTTTTCAATGGTCTTTTTGTGCTCTTGTAATACCAATTTAACAGTTGAAAGTTATCTCGAGTGAATAAATTTTCCTAGAGCACACCAATAAGATTACTTTGACTCTGCCAATGACTGCAGTGTGTACTGGTGACAGCAACAATCGTCTTCCCTAAAGCTACTGTTATACATGTGCCACATTTAAATAATCCAATGAACATGGGTAGAAATATGGTGGGGTGAGGGAAATCAACCAATAATTATTAAAGACCCTCTTTTGGCGCTCATGTGGGAAAAGATTTCCAGCAAAGTTTGAACGTTTTAAAGTGAAAAGAAGCATTAACAGAAACAATTATCTACAAATTAAGCTGATTTCCCAATATTTGATTTGTGCAACTGTACATGACTTTCCAAACACTGCTTTGAAAAAACATTACTGAAAAAAGAGTTAAGTTTAACAAAAAATTGAGACTTTCATTCTGCTTCTGAAAATTTCTAAAACGCTATTTTTCATTTAAAATTTTGCCATGATCCCAATAATAGCTTATCACACCTATTTTGATTTCTCATGAATTCTCATGATTATTTTCAGGGGTATATTTTGAATCATGTCATGTTTAGTTACTGCCTCACAAACAGCAAGAACGGTGTACGCGTTTCGTACGATTTTGTGGACTGAATGCATACTGGCATGTCACCTTCCTTTGACAGCATCCCACCTGTGATGACTTCCAGCATCCTATTGTTAAAACGTTGACACGCTCCAGTATTACCCCAAATCACTGCTAGAGCTTGCTTCCAAGCTATTCCCTCTGCAAAACAACAGAAAAAGCAATTTCTATCATCCCAAATAAGTATTTAATGACCAAAGACAACTGAAACATTGCTCCAATGCTAAACAGCCCACGTGCACATTATGCCCAGTGATGACTGATGAGAGAGCATGCGAGGTTAACCAAAGAAAATGTCAAGCATTAACCCTAACACTCCTCAGTCCTCCAACAGGTGAAGGATTGAGGAGTGTTAGGGTTAAGGCCCCTTTCCAGATCTACATTTTTTGAGTGCCTTGCGTACACAATGTGTTCAGGTGTTTCACTTTCACTGGAACAAAAGTCAACTTTATTAACAGAACACCTGTGTGTGTTGTGTTCGGCTATCAAAATCACCCCGGAAGCGATTTTGACAGATCTGCAACACTTGGCGCATATGGAAAGGCACCTTTAACCCTGATTAAGCCAAATTCAACAAGATTCTATTGGATTTGTGGCAACCTCAAGGGCTGGTACTACATCTTTTAAAATTGGGGAATAATTTTTGTATAAAACTGCTCAGAAACACCCGATGTAAACATACCTGCATTAGGAAATGCGATCACCGAGTAAATAACTCAATTTCTAGTCATAAAACCAGTAATGTGCAATGTCTGTATTGAATTCCCAAAGCAGAACTCCACTGTGAGGGTTACCCAAAAACATGCAAATTTCACCATGCATTTAATTTGGGAAAACAGTCACCGTCATCATTACTACTGCGTAAACAAAACTCTCTACTTTTTGAAAGCATGAGAATGATGTGTTTTGGGTTTTTTTCCATTCTCCTGTGAAAAACAAGAAATAATTTAACAGGCTTGCAAATGAGTTTGTAATTTTATGGTGCGAATAGTGAACATTGCAAGAATGGGATGTTAAGAGCTGGGCAATGTGGATGCTAAAAGCAGGAGGAAGTTTAGAAGTGACTTCTTCAAGGTCGATACCAACAGGACCTATTTTCATAGAGCAGCTCAGCTGAAAACCTTGATTAGCAATTGTACTTGCTGAATAAACATCTACAAAGAACAAGTCGCAGGTAATACATACTCTGACAGAGTGTGAAATTAGGGTCCTATATTGGCCACTTTCCAACCACTTTTGGTATTTGTCTGATCAAAAGCAAATGTGGTCGAACAAAAAATCTGAAGGAAATGCAAAGGAAAATCTTCGAAAAGCAGAAACCAATAGGTATCTTTAACTCTCACTTTTCGGCCTGTGACATTAAAACTGTGCCAGTACGTTCTCATTTGACCTGTGCTGGTATATTTTGTCTGACCTGATTTCATGCACTGATACCAACAATTTTTGGCTGGTAACCTGTTCTTCCACAGCAAATATCATCAGTGCTTGGCAAATTACTCAGCTCAGTAGCTCTATGGAATTGATCCAGTGGTGCACTATGCTTGCTGTGTCTTACTGCTATTCAATTTTGACATGTTGGATGAACAATTTTAATACAGTATTCTTATTTCAGTGACATATGCCTTTTCTGGACTTCAAGCATAAAAAAACCACATTTAGGGACGTGTAGCAGGTAAAATATTAAAATTAATATCACACATTCCAAAGCCTTAATGTCAAGTTTTAAAATGATTCATTATTAAAAGTTTCTTTAATAATCTCTCAATATTTATCACAAAAGAACAGAATGGTTATTCTGCTAAATACTTTTAAAAAACAAGAGTAAAATTCATTGTACAGTTGAGAATTTCCTTCGTTGTTAAACTTGACGGAAATAGAATGAAACTGTAACCTGACAAGAACACAATAACTTCAGGGTGACAAACGGTTCTGAAACGAAACGATGCACAACCATAGAGCTATATATAAAAACTGGAGCGCTGGCTCACGCACAAAGTATTGCCAGCTGGGTACATCCATGTTTGTGCGCAACCTATGGAAAACTTGAAATTCTGTGAGGCTTTTGTACGGCTTTTTGCTTATCTGCATCTGTATTCAAGAACGATGTGTCAACAAAATCGATACGCAAAAAAACTTACGCACAATCAGTAAATGAGCATTTCATTTTGCTTTATGTATTGAACAATGCAAATGCAGGTGCGCGTGCACTGCAGATAATTTGGCGGTGACTCTTTAAATTGGATTTATTAAGCGGTACCCGATGCATATTGCATTTAGAGTACATGATTTGATATTTGTTCTGTCTGATTTCGAATGTTCTGCAAGCACACACATAGATTCAAAATGTCTTTGCCCATGACGGCGTTAAATTGTATCCGCGTGGAGATGAGAAGTTAGCTTTCTAGTAATTAAATATGACTCTATGACCAACAAGTGACTATCATGCAACAGCAACAACAGGTTATCACTAATGAGAAGCATGCAGATGTCCCAATCATAATATCAACCACATACAGGGTGACAAAAGTCTACTTGTTCATAAAATGATTTCTGTTTCCCCTCGGAAGGCTTTGACACTAAATCCCTGGGTAAGCGTGCCAGAGCTTTCCCGAATTCAACAAAATCCCTTTGCAGAGTCCCAAAGACACTGTTTGTATTTTTGCAGACTTCGGACAAAAGGCCTTATTTAAGACATGTTGTGAACAGCAAAATGCAAATGAAGCTAAATAAGATGATGAAAGTTTGAAGGTTGCGTCAATTGAAATGTTCATGGAGAGAGGCTCAGCACTAATTATGAAAGCGAGAAGCGTCTGAATGAATTTGAAATGTTATGTCAGAAATACAAGGCATCGCCGAGCAATGGAATTTTTGGTGCAGTGAGAGAAAAAAAAAGAACTGGTTTCAGAAAAGCTAGGCTCTTGAAAACCACTTCCAAGCTACCAAACATTACAGAAAAACTGACTCTGCAAATTCCAGTTTAAAAGCAAACACCATAAGCACAGGGCATGCTATGTGAACCTACACTACTTACATATTGCACCAACAGTTGGGGCATTATTATCACTACTGACCTCAACTGCAAATTGGCCTGGCCTGTGAGACAGTAGGAGTAGGGATGAGGTAACAGACACAGTGACACGCACAGAGAGATAGAGAAAGAGGCAAAGTGCAAGGGGGGGGTTAGAGAAACAAAACACAATTGTGAGACTTCACCCCAAGACAATATGCCCATCAAACACAATCACAATGTGGGCAGAACAAAACAAAAATCATTCTCAATTCCAACAACCAACTATTGAGTGTTGTAACATTCTAAATGACACATTTATATCTTTATAAAAGAAAAAAAATACAGAGAAAAAAACCCAGAAACATCTACTATGGGGGGGGGGGTATTCAAAGTATGGCAAAAAAGTAGTAAGTTCAATGCATTAGAAGAAATTCTATTGCAAGTACATTACATTTAGAACTTCTGAGTGAGGTTAGTCAGTAAAAAGGCACACTCTCATGCCCATACTTCTTTCCTATTAATTCCATGCCAACGTGACAGAAACGGATCCACACTTCCACAAACTGCTTAAATTCAGTAGAATTTAATTTCAAATGTTTCAAAAATAGGAAAGGGCATTTTAAATGTGTTTACTACATGACCAAAGCCATTTCTTACATTTTCTGTTTGCTACTTCGTGCAAGCACTGCTCCAAAACGATTACTTGTGACTGATATTTTTTGGTTTATTTTATTTTCCCAGATATGTCTGGTAAACATGACGGAGTGTGTACTCTTAAATCTTTTTTGGCTTGTTGAATATGATCTAAAAGCTTGCAGAAATTTCCACACACCAAAGGAGGCCAGTTAATTTCCCTTTAACCAGGCACAAAGCAAGAGACTGTGCTCAGTACAGTGCGTAAGTTGTGGAAGGAAGCTTCATATACATAATGGACACCGTTATTAAGACAAACCCACCAAGTGGTTCTCAGTTAGTACTACCGATCTGCCCGATGTTATCGCAAACTTGTTAATTTGCTCTTTTTGCTGCAGGGATTTTCCCGAAAAAATTCCTTCTTGTGTGAAGTTCTTTTTCTCACCTCATAGGAAAGTCCATGACAATTTTGCTTTGACAGACCAACTAGATATCCTCAAACTCAGAGACTCTAGTCATTGAAGTTGGCCCCCTAAATGTGTCAATACACGCAATTGTACTACAACAGCCAGGAAATAAAGAGAAATCATCATATGACATGCTTATTTTTCCAACAGAGCATGTGTCAATACACAAGATGGCACTAAAACATCAAGGAAATAAAATTCTTAATATGGGAAATGTTCCTTTTGTAACCCTTCAAAGTTTAAGTGACTTCTTTATTTTGTAAATAAAACCTCATCTCCTTGTTTTTCGTGTTGTGTTGTGACATCATTTAAGAGGAAAATGATCACAACCAAGTCCCCCCCTTTAAGTCACACCCATGCATAAACTTTACAAAGGGTAATAACGTCACTACTTTGGCTTTTGCCATTTCAACTTGTTCGTACGATGGCTCTTCAAATGCAGTTTCAAAGTTTCCCATTTCCAGACAACAGCAACAAGCCCGCACACCTAGTGTGCAGCCTTGCAACTCACTGCACACAACTTGGCTGATAAACTTGAGCACAGCAAATCCAACCAATCATCTTGGCTCGCTTGACTATCATATGAGAAGTTAGCATTTCTATGAGGGATTCTGGCTACAAACAAATGCATGCTACATCAACAATTACAACACCGCACACCCACACGCACCAACTTCACCTACAATTTTGTGCTGCGGAAGGGGAGAGCTACACACATTGTCATGAGACACAACGGCCAAACAAATATTACACTTTTGACTCCAAATTGTCAAAGACTGAATGGTTACTTGGAGAAGGACACATCTGTACTTGATACTGAAAAAAATATTAAATGTGAAGAACCAAGGTATTACATGTACAAGTGTGTCACAGTCTCGAGGTCAAAGAATCAGAGACAGTACCAGGTGTTGCATGGAGGGATTGGATCTGCGGCTATTGGACTGCATTGCTATGTGTCCATAGGCAGGGCATTTTACCACACTCACCTCTCCCTGTCAGAGTAGTACTTGGGTAACTAATATGGCATAGCAAGCTACTGTCAGTGCGATTAGAACGCAGGGATTCCTCTAAGGTTGCCTAGCATCACTGTGCACGCTTCTAAGGGGGTTAACGATGCACTGTGGAATGGCCTATAGACTTGCCAACATGTGAAAAACAGGAGGGAATAACGATAAGAAAGTAGCATCATTAATAAAATGAACACAAAAAGTTTCACCGACCTGTGGCCGTGCTTGATGTGTATGAGCAGAAAGAAGGCCCCGAACAGGATGCATAGGGAGCCGGTGACAATGTAAGCAATACCCAGGAAACTGTTCTTGCCCCCGAGCCAAGAGGTGGTGGTTAGAACAATACTCTTGGTACCATCAAACATGTGAACCGGGTAGGCTGGTGCATTACAAAGAATCAGTTAAGAACTTATAACAGAGGAGAGGGAAATGGACTCATCAGGAAAAAGGACTGAAACTGCTATGGTTGCATCAGGATTTGTCCTTCACTACCACTTTACAAGAAGTATGAACGAAGTTGATGTAAATAACTTGGGACCAAAACCATGGTAAACAGGGCCAATTTCTGACTTTTCTTGCATAGTTGGGGGTGCAATGTCAAATTAGATGTTTTATTAATGTTTGCTGCCTCAGATGATAATAGCCAAACTTTGTGTAAATTTCAGAGCAAATGACATTGTCAGGGTAACAACTGAGGCCACAATGGGACCAGAATGGAAGGTGTCACTAAATTAATTTGCTTTTAGTATTGCAAATTAGAAACCAACTCTGACTTTCTGAAGACATTTTTGTTGGAACCAGCAATCTAATCTTGCAAAAAAAAAGTAATTTCTAAACGGGTAACAACAAAACCCTTGTAAATAATTTTAAAAGGATACAATAATCAATGCTCAGGGTGTAGTTTCCTTTTGGTAGACCCTTATCAAACACAGTGCCTTGCTGGATCACAACTTTACGGTGGAGTTTGCGGAATGTCGGCAGAGCGGCAGTGCGCATCCAGACAATGAAGTCTTCATTCTGGTAGCCACCTGAGACATTCTGGATGCTTGTCTGCCAGTTAGGAGGATGGGTTGTCCCATCAAATGCTGTGAGGATTTAAAACCATACCACAGTGTCAATACCAGTCACAGCCAAACCATTGAATTGCAGGAGATTTGTAAAAAACTTTCACAAGTCCAGGACTCTAAAGTTGAAAAGTTATGTTAACAGAGCTTTACATATTAACCTCATGTGCAAGTCAGTAGCATAGCGACATGGGTGCAGAGTGGTAAACTGACTGGGATAGATATCTGAAAAGGCAAATCTGGATTGCCGTTAAAGCCCCATCAGGACAAGGATGAAGCAATGGTGGTGGTAAAAATGCAAGGCAGCATGCAAATAAAGCCCCCCGGCCGTGCACCTGTTCATGTCCTGAATGAAATTCATCTTCAAGAAAGAGGAACTGCTGAAATCATTTGATACTTGAGGTGCTAGTTAGGTAGTTTCCACGAAGTATTAAATGATATTAATGGGATTACTGTTGGCTGTGAAAAGGAAATAGTTTACTGAGTCAAAACATGCTACTCACATGGTGGGTTGCTGAACTTGGTCGTCCTATCACTATCCCAGGCTATACCACTCCCATTAAGCAGCACAGGTTCAAACATGTTACCGTCATCCAGATATGTGATATTAAATGTATCTGTGGAAAACAAAATGTAATCAGGAAGTAAGAGATGTGAAAACCATATTGGGAATGGAGGATTGAGGACTGTTAGGGTCAAGTATTATGATTTTTAAGAAAATGTTTACGTTTATTCGACAATTTCACTGGGTGTAATAAGTGTTGGTAGTCCTGAGGGACCACCTATCGCATGCACTGCATCTTACCGTTAAAGAGACTGTTTGCAATGGCACCACAAGGTGCGACAGGTATGGGATCCGTGCCGTTGTTGGCATTCTCTACGTCTCTTCTTTCATACGGTTTGCAGTCGGTGCTGACGTCAGTCTGAGAAGCTTCCACCCCAAGTAGCTGTAGATCGTCCCGAGAGTTCACGTACCGGCGGTGGTTCTGGTAGTAATTGGTCAGCTTGTACAGCATGTAGACCTCGCCCTAAGACAAAAAAAGAAAAGATTTTTACAAAATTATGTAAGTCACCAATAAAATTATGTTTTTCATATCAGTCCGCGGTTCATCCCATTAGGAATGATAAACAAACAGACAAGAAAAGTCCGAGACTGAAAAAGGGAAGGGATCAATTCAGCCAAGTGATTTTCCTGTCTTTCAAAGCTGCAACTTGGGTGCTACCTTACACTTACATAATAAACACTCCTACCAAGCCAAATGGAGTTCACTCAAGAACTACAGAGGGTCACACAGCAGTGTTTCTTCCATGTGGAGGTTAGATTGAACCTAGGTTATAGTGGCTGAGTTCATGCGTGTGGATTCTGCATTTTGGATGTGTTTTTTTCCTCTGATTTTTTGTTGTCCAAGCGACTGGAACTCCTATGATTAAAACCAATGGCACCATGTTGCAACAGAAATGTAAATTAAGATGTCCCCCTCCCCCTAAATAACCTAAAATACACACTCTCACATCAAACATACTTTATCTACAAGCAGTCAACTCAGTTCTTCCAAAAGTTTGATTTCTTTGAAATCCTATTCAGAACGATTCTCAAGTGTTTCTGTTTTGTTGTAAAGTTTTCTTAAGCAGCATTCTTCAAATCACTTTCAATGCTCTCGCTCTCTTGCAATTACGTGTTTGAATGGATCTTGCCACTTGTTGTGTAAAAAACCAAACTAAACGGGCCGCCCTGATATGCATTACGGAATCTGCAATTTGTAATACCCTTACCTCCATCGCAGTGTCCAGTTCAAACCTCACAGCGCACCTGCAGGTGATGCCCATGTTGGGCTGACTATCAAACAAATCTTTGCAGGTTGTTGTCTCATTAGTAGTGGTGTTCTCAAAGGTGCAGGAGGTGTAATCTACTTCCTTTTCTTGCACCTGTCATAATGAACCAGCACAAAATGAATTGGTTTCAGCAGGTTTCCATCACGGCTTGACTCAACCCTCCATTGAAATGGTCAAAATACATTCAATGTAATCAGTTCCCTGTGATATCTTTTGGCAGACAAAACAGCATCCACTGACATTTCTAAGAGGAAGTTCTACATTGTAGATCTAACGGGTATGAGAAACAACATAAATCACCAGGTGTGGGTTAACGATTGAACACAAACACAACTTAATACCACTCAAGGTGAGATGTTTACATGTATTTAATTTGAGGAGTTTGTCAGAAAATTGGAAACTCCCTAATGACTAAGTATTACCCAATATCAAATTTAAAGGCTGGGCTTTAAAGATCAATCACATTGCTTTGACATAAAATGGTTATTTAACAAGGAATTGGTCATTGGTACCCGCATCACAACCAGTGTGGCAGCTTCTCTTCCCATTTATTTAAAAAAAAAATGTCATTTTGGGAGTTCAGTTCCACCGCGAGAATGCTCCGAGAAAAAAAATGCGTCAATGAGGGCAGCAAACAAATCTAGTGATTTGATGATGTCACAATATGGTTCTTGTCCCTCAGAATTTCTTGACTTTGCTGCTTTATGGGGGCTTTATAGGGGATTTATAGCACCAAAAACAGAGGAAGTAAGTTAAATATCATTTTTGGCAAATGACTGTGGCCGTCTGCCTGAAATTCATCAGACCTTACTCCAGATCAAATTGGAATGGTTCAACTTTATCATAATCATATGTTTCAGTGTTGATCAACATGTTGATCAACATTGTCGATGGAAAAGTAATTCCAAGTCGTTCTCACTATCCGACCTCTTCCAATCTACAGTTAAGTGCAAGCATGCACAGTGCTGACATACGCAGACGCGTTTGCCCTGAAATAATGAAACAGTCGTATAACAGCAGAGCCGTAGTGTGACGTCATCAAACAGGCTTCTATTGGATGCTCCTGAAGACTTTTGTTTCAGTTTGCCTGATATGAAGGAGGACTTCAACTCTTGCTTTTGACGTCAGGAGCAATCTTTATTTAGTTTTTACATAATAGACTGTTTTAAAAATAACTAAATTTCATAAAAAATGATATTGTGAATTACCAATGTGATTGATCTTTAAATTTTAAATATTATGGTGTAAAAATAGTCCCATTTGAAACAAACATAATGACAGAAACAGTACATTTGCATTTAAATCTGAATTTAAATCTAATTGAAATCAATTCTTCCAACTCTGCAAGTTTCTTAGAAACTATTACTTGGCCTAGTGTAATTCTCTTTGAGGAGGTTGTGGTTGGGAAGAGTTATGCCTGTTCTGCTTACATTGTTTGAAGTAACGAGGAACAGAGCACCAAGCGGCACAAATATGATGCCAATGATGAAAAAAGCCGGTAAAACCGTGCCAGCTGTTAGGATGGGCTGCCACGCTGGTAGCCTCTGCTGCTTGAAGGCAGTGTCTGTGAATGAAAACCAGTCAAGGGAATCAGAAGAGTTGTTGTGAAGCAGCCTTCTACATGTATAGGCCTAGATTGGCAATGCATATAGTGCACATTTTGCAATGTGACACGCCGTACCATCACGTTATGGCTTCCAAAACTATAGCCTATGCTCAGAGCCACTATGTATAAAAAGTAATGTGACTGGTTCACCGTGAGTGCGCTGCATGAATGACTTTTTATGAGCAACATTGTCATTGGGTCACCAGAGTTGAACCCAAGTCTGAGTCCAGAATTACTTGCCTTGAGTCCGAGCCTAAGTCTTGAGTCACTTGCCTTAAGTCCAAGTCATAGTTTCAAGTTGTAGCAGCTGAGATTAAGGCTAACATGCCAGTACAACTGTTCATGGAGTAGTACCCCTTGAACTGTGGGGTTTATCGTCAATGCCATGCTCCCATTTATAAAAGTGCACAGCGGAGATTGAACCCAACAGTTCTGGGGACGTGGTGAGGTAACTTAGATAGTTTAACTTCAAAATTGTTACTTCCAAATTGTTTGGTTCTGGATCTACCCTAAGTAACTTGTAAGTTGGAACTTGCACAAGTTGCAGGCCTACATCAGTCCGAGTGATGAGGACTCTATGAATCGCCTCTTCAAACATTTGGACATGGTCAGCCAATATAGCCAGTGCAAATATGACAAGTTTTTGTGTGTATTAACCCTAACCCCCAAGGCTCCTGCACTAGAAAGCACACTGAACCTCACAAAATCCAACAGGTTCATGTACTTGTCTATGTACTTGTACATGCAGGTTAGTGTACCAAACCTGATAAACTCCAACAGAATGAGCACGTTGGAGTTTGAATGATATGGTATGGATGGATCTATGCAGTATAGGATGACTTGCACTGAACAGTAACAAACCTGACAAAATCAAGCATAATCCAACAATTGGTACAGCAAGCCAGACACTGCACACAATGACCTGTGTGTGTCCCAACTCACACAGAATCCAGCACCATTTCCCTGGGCCTTTCATCCCAAGTCTCATAAAATTCAACAAGTTCATCAGGTACAGTACCAAACCTGACAAAATCAAGCATAGTCCAACAATTGGTACAGCAAGCCAAACACTGCACACAATGAACCCTGTATGTCCTAACTCACACAGAATCCAACACCATCTCCCTGGGCAATTCATCCGAAGTCTCACAAAATTCAACAAGTTCCTTGGGTACGGTACCAAACCTGCCAAAACCTCACAAAACCTGCTGTTGGAGTATGGCAGGTTTGGGGCAGTTAGGGTTAATGCACTTGTTGTCCAGTTACTTTTACGTCAAGAGATGCCCGTCTTCAAAATTTTCACACCCTAACGTTACATTCATCTGCAACTCACTAGGGAACATGGCATGGCAGGAGAGAAATCCCCATTTTACATTGTAAATCATGTGGGTAGAGTTCAGCTTAAAGCCAATTCGTAATGAGGGGCCTGGCAACTCAACTACATGTATATGTTAATGGACGTTACTCCTTGCCCAGAAAGACTAATGTTAGGTGTCTCTTCTATTAAAGTAGCGAGTTCAACAGAACTATTAGATCACACAGTCTTATCTGCTGGTGTGTAAAAACTCGATGACAAAAGCCCCCAGTAAAAGTAGTAATTTCCAATACTTCACCTTAAATTTGTGATGCTCTTGTAGCCAAGAACTTTCTCTTTCAAAATGTGTCATTAGTTTGGACTAAATTGCTGTCTAACACCCGAAAAATACATTGGAAAGAACAATGAGTCAGAGAGTTTCGCAATCAAGTGGTAGCGGCTTCACTGGAGGACACCATTTTGCAAATCAATCCTCAAAAACTTTAGAACTTTGAGTTCTCTTCCTCTTCCAGTAAACACCCTCAAAGTTGTTTTTATGCAATATTCTCATCAAAGAAGCTATGAGCTTTTGACTGACACCAAAGTTGTCCAAACTTCACAGGTAATTTCACTAAAAAACATGTTAAAGTCACACCATTTCCATGACATGGATTTTCATGTTGTTTTCACTTTCAAGTTTTCAATCACTCCAGTCCAAAATTGTTTACACAACAGTATACTTACTTGTACATGTAACAGTTACTTCAACAGAAGTTAATTAGTCTTGAAATCCATAATATATGGCAACTTATTGGCCGCAAAGATTATTCTAGCATTACTGACAGTATTTACAGGCCATCATTTTCATGATAGTAGGCTTCAGCTGGGAACTAATAAAAGGATGCAAGTTTCATTCTTTTCAAAGGAATGAATGTAAACAAAACTTACTGAGAACCACACTCTTACCAGTACAGTAGATTCAAACATTCATACAAGCTATTAAGGTGATTTATAGTTTTATACACAAATGAATTTCTCTTGAGGTTACCGCACCTTTCCGTGGCCCACTGAGGTTTGTGCATAGCCCTATACTTGTCTTGATCCAGACTCGTACAAGGGGATTTTCAATGTGAGCAGCATGGTACCGACCAGCAGCATTAGACTTAGAGTACACTGTTCGAAACGTCGAGTTATTCCCCGGTTCTTCTCAGAACCACACATACTCAAAGAAGAGATAAATACATGGTGTTACCGCAATATTTACTACAGATCTAGTTTCTTTCACCATGAAAACCTTTAAGTCTTAAAGCATTAGACTTCCTCAGTCCAGCGCGGTATGTTTTGTGGCTTCGGGTAACAATAAGAACATGTAAAGGGCCTATCCCATTTGCCTGCAATTTTCTATACACACAAAACGTGTTTTTTCATTTTTTTTTATACATTTATCTTTGTTTAGGCCTAATACTTATATATATCATTATCAAAAATGCATAGAGAACAAAATTGAGGTTTATTCAGTCATTTATACACCATCAACATGGAATAATTTTTTTAAGGATTATTTTTTTCGACGGACCGACCCTATCTCAAGTGGTAAAAGAAACAAGAACCATAGAATTTAATAAGGGCGCCCTTATTATTGCCAGAAAAAAACTAAAATCCGCCGTCTCCCTAGTAATGGGATCCCCAAATATACAATCCCCATGGACAGCAACAATAGGAATTGGAGGGGTCTCGTAAAGACAACACTTGTAGAGAACGGGACCTCTAATGAAACTGCAACTGGCTTGGCCTAGGCCCCTATATAAAAAAGGCTATAACTTAGTTAGGCCCCTAGCTATGGCCTAAAATTAAAATAGTATAGACTAGGCCCTAGCAGTATAGTGTGTAGCGCGCGCCGCGCGCTAACGTTAACGGAGCTACGGAGACTACTGAACAGTTTGGAGTGCCTAATAGGTTGCTTTCCTCTCGAATCGACTTACTTGCAGGCTTGTTGGTCTTTTTCTTTTCTTCTTTTTCCTCTTCATGACCATTCACTTTTGCGGTGGAGTTAGAATTTTCCGGTTCAGCAGCAGACTTGGCAGATGCTGTCTGCCTTTCCCGTAGCTCCGCCATTTTAGCTAAATTTTTTCGCTGGTATCCGCCACGCCCTCCAAGCTATGACGCGACGCTGGCGATAAAGAAATGTTTATCTCAGCACTATGGGTGTATATTTTCAGTCATAAATTTCAAATTTTGTAAATTGTATTATTTTTATACCAATGTTGACAATGTATGAGTATTTCGTGGATTTATCATTTATTAAGCCACGACCAAACATCCCCATGAGAAGTTGAACCCCACCCTAACTAGCAGACATGAGTCTTGTCGAGTAGTATTTAATTGCAGTTTCGCTGGTATGATGCAAACGTCGTGGAAAGTTGGGTTTAATGTATATAAAGCTTAAAGTATTTGGGATATCAACGATCCCATGTGGTCTAGTGGTTAGGATTCGTGGTTTTCACCCACGCGGCCCGGGTTCGATTCCCGGCATGGGAAGTGGCTTTTTTTGTAAACATAATTTTAAACCAAATGTGCTTCAACGTTTGAATACAAAACGTTGTTTTGGTTGTTTGTTTTCTTTTGCTTTTATTTGTACTACACCACAAACTGCAACAATGAGAAATAAAATAACACGCAGAAAACAATATTACATGTATTAATGGGAGAGTACTAGGGGGATGTGATATCTGCCCCCCTTGATGGACGTTTTTATTTCTTTTATTTATTTGTTTTCAACTGAGATTACTTAATAGGTGAGTGGGAGAGAAAATAATCGGTATATTTATTTATCAAGTAAATAGGCTATATTTTTCTCCACACTATCATGTTGAATGAGCCGGAAAGTGCATTCGAATTTGCCCCCCCCCCCACACTCACCAAAAGCTGGATACTGGCACTGACCCCCGTCTACCTATTCAGACCGCACCCTCCTCAGCTGTCATGAGTATGCAATTTCGACAGTTTTGAACGGGAAGGAAACAGGAAATTCAGTCTTCATTTTTAACAGCGATGAGGGACAAGGTGACATCTTGATAAAAAGCCCGTGAAAAGTATAAGTGAAAAGTCAAGGTCGTATTATCTCTCCAACACGGAACGTGACATTAACCATGTTGTTTTAAAGAGCATGGAGTTATGATGTCATACTTATGATTTTCCTTGTTCCGGTTTTTTTTCGAACACCAATTACTGATCGACCCGTGAAAGTTAGTCACTCTGAGTATTGTTCAGTCCGAAAATGTTCAATTCCACCGTTCTTTGATAGGAGTTCCGTTTCTTCATACCGATTCCCCCAGTCACATTTCACGGAGATATTTTGGATGGGAATAATTCCTTGGCGGCGAAACAAGACAGGTATATCCCCTCCTCACCGGCAGCCCTCGGGCCCCTGTGTTTCTTTACCACGTGTTTGGAATAAGTTCATATTATTCGACCAGTGAGAGTCTTTCACTACCGCACGCCCCGCCGCCGTTAGCGCAACCGTTATTTGCTCTGACGTCATTGATTACGTAGGAGAACGCTTCCGGTGTTCAACGATCCCATGCCCGCCATGACATCCCCATACCCTCAAAAAATATTGTCAAATATTGAACGTTTTAAGTTTGGAACACTGTAAATTTGCTGTAAACCACCAAAATCAATATTCTTCGTTTCGACATATTTTGATGGATAGTCAGGATCACTCGACGGAGTTTTATTTAAAGGCAAGTACAGATAAATGCGTTTTGATGTATTCACATTAGAACAGTACATTTCTCCGAATACTCCCACTTGAAATTATGAAATATGATGTGCATATACGAAAGTTAGTGCTTGCGAAACAATGTGTGATCCTAATAACTCGGTTCTGTTCGTTATGTTTGTTTATAAATAGACCTTTTAACTAACAAGTCTAAACGATTTTATGGGGCTTTCTGAAGAAAAAATGAACAAAGCCAGAAAACCTGAGAGAAAATGATCGAATTCGCACCCGTTCGTTTACAATGGCCCGCTCACATTCTTTTCGCCAAAGCCATTTGTGCGCATGCGTGCATAATAATTATGAATCGTTATGTGCACCACTAAAAATGAATTCCCATGAACAGCAGTGATAAATCCCCAGACTTCA